TTCCCTTAACCTGGCAATGAGTAGCAGTGATGGTAGGCCCACTTTTGCAAAGAAAAAGACTAATATATTCCGGGAAGTCTTTCCCCTCACAAAAACTTGATCACTTCTGAACACTGCTTGGCTATCTGTAGAAGTACCTCAGGAATTTGGCTTAATCAACTGTGCTGGGCTGTTTTCTCAGCTGGTGAAAAAATGAGTCTTTTCAAAACCAGAGAAGTGTCACCACAGAGTGAATAGTTGTAACAAACACAGTGAAGTAAGGCCAAGTAAAAAAACCACTCAGATATCACTGAGGTTGTGCCAAAACCTTAGAGGTGTTATACTGCAGGAGAATCACGCTAGAGCAACTAAGGAAATGAAGCAGACAGTCTAGCTAAGCCCACTACCGCTGCTGTGCTTCTGGGAGCCAGCTATGCCAGTAGGAAAACTGAGGCAAAGATACTTTGATGTCAGTGCTGACAATGAAAGAACAAAGAATTATGATGAAAATGAGATAAACTCAATTAAAAAATTAAATTAAATTAAATTTTATGCAAACAGTTTGAAAGTCATAACAAGATTAGTCTAATAGGTTATCAAGGAATCATTCACAGAAAAAGTTATTTAACTGGGTCTAAGCAGAGTTATAAAGTTCATGTAAGGGGCTCTGAGGTCAAAGGAACTGGCCTACAGGTTTTTTTCTTGAAATGAAATCCATGTACATTAATATATATAATACTTCACAAAGCTACGACATTTTGAAACTAAGAGAATGTCTACGTGTCTAAAGTATAGAGTATGAATCTTGAAAATATTCAATATATTAAAATTAGATCTGTATTTCTAACTGTATCAGACCTGTTTTAAAAGTCCAAGACATTCATGTATGTGGTTAGACTTGTGTCTATTTACATTAATCGAAATTCTCAAATTTTCTCTCAGTGCAGTATATTGGTCACATCATTGTAAGTATTAACATCAATATAAATATCATGAAGACATAATTAAACTTTACATAAAAGAAATGTGATGGCATTTTAAGAACTAGTAACTTTATAAGTGAATTATGTATTTTATTTAAAAAGCATGATTACATAAATTTTTAACTATGATGATCAGAAAAAGTTTCATTTAATTAAAAAAATTCTGTATGCCTTTGGAAATCAGAATAATTATTTAGTGTGTTTAGAAGCTGAGTGCTTTTCAGTCAAATATGCATGAGTATTACTTAATAATAATAATAAAACATAGAATAGTTTGGGTTGGAAGGGACCTTAAAGATCATCTAGTTCCAACCCCCCTGCTATGGCCAAGGACACCTCTCACCAGGTTGCTCAGAGCACCATCCAGCCTGGCCTTGAACACTCCCAGGGTTGGGGTATCCATGACTTCTCTGGGCAACCTTGTTGGGTACCTCACCACCCTCACAGTAAAGATTTATTTCTGAGATCTAACCTAAGCCAACTCTCTTTCAGTTTGAAGTCATTCTCCATTGTTCTATCATTACAGTTCCTGATGAAGAGTTCCTCTCTAGCCTCATTGTAGGCCTCTTTCAGATATTGGAAGGCTGCTATGAGGTCTCCACACAACCTCCTCTTCTCCAGGCTGAACATCCCCAACCTTCTCAGCCTGTCTTCATAGGAGAGGTGCTCTAGTCCCCTTACCAACTTTATGGTCTCCTCTGGACTTGGTCCAAGAGTTTCATGTCCTTTTTATGTTGAGCACACCACAACTGTGAGCTGTACTCCAGGTGGGGTCTCATGAGAGCAGACCAGAGGGAGAGAATCACTCCCCTTGACCTTCTGATGCAGTCCAGGATTCTATTGGCTTTCTGGGCTACAAGCACATACTGCTAGCTCATGCTGAGTTTTTCAACAACCATCACTCCCAAGTTCTTCACAGGGCTATTCTCAATCACTTCTACATCCAATCTGTAGGTGTGTCTAGGATTGCCCCAACCCAGCTGTTGCTGGCTTTGTTGAACTTCATGAGGTTTGCATTGGCTCACCTCTCAAGCCTATCAAGGTCTCTGTGGATAGCATTCCTTCACTTCAGCATGTTGATCACACCACAGAGCTTGGTATCATCAGGGAACTTGTTGAGAGTGCACTCGATATCACTGTCCATGTTGCTGACAGAGAGCTTGAACAGTATTGGCCCCACCATCGATCCCTGAGGGACACCACTTGTCACTGGTCTCCATGTGGACAATGAGCTGTTGACTGCATAGACTAAGAGATAATAACAGACTAGTATATTCTCTACCAAAGTAAAAACTGTAACAAACCAAAAATAAATGTATTCCTTCAGTGACCACTTAGCAGCATTCTCACATTAAACTAACAATCAGATCAGATCACAAAATCGTGGTTGTTAGCTGATTCAATAATAGATTTAAAAATGAGAATACTTTATAATGTGTTCAGATTTAGCCTGTAACTTGTACATGAATGAGTAATTTCATATTTTTATTCTCATTCTTGGCTGGGGTGATAGTGATAAAAGATTTTTCTATCAGATCAAATATGGAAGAATGTAGGATATGTGTTTTCTAATTAAATAAATAATTTATTTTTTTTTAAACTAGAGTGGGCTTTTGGGTAGTAGGTGAGGTGGTCATGTTGTAGAGCCACGAGGAAAGGGGCCCGGAGCCCCTCGGGGCCTCTGGGGCCTCCCAGCCCCCGGCTTGGGGGACTGCAGAGACTTGGAACAGTCTTAGACTGGGCTAAGTGTCTGTAGTTATGCCGGGAGATGTTTTCTCCATCGTGGGCAGTGGCTGGAGAAAGCAGCAGCCGGCACTGACTGGAGAAACGGTGGCAGAGAGCCAGAAGAGATAAGATGGAGCAACAGAGACATGCAGCACCAGAGAAAGAACTCCTGGTTTCAAATTCAACATATTCTTGGTCATCTGTTGCTCATAACATTGATTTTCATTCCTCTTGGCATCATACCTGCCAAAGTCAGTTCATATTAGTGTCAGAGATGTTGTATAAGGAATAAAAAAATGTGTCTGCATTTAAGCTACTGAGGCTCAGGAGGAAGGAATACAATATTAAATCAGAAGATACTTGAATTCATCTAGAAAAATCCCATCTTGTCCCTGCTACTTGGCTAGCCTTCTGTTTCTATGTCTCTGAAGAGTTAATGAATGAATCAGGGTAGGAGGGAACAGCGGGTGTTTATTTAGAAGGTAAATATGACATTATATAGCTCGTGATCCAGCAACCACTATGTGAGTATACAAAGACTGGGGATGGCTGTGATGGACTGTGACAAACAGCACAGTGACATGCTGATTGATCTGCAAGCCCAGTGGAGAAGTCAGTCAACACCAGAAAAAATCATGAACTGTTTCTTTCTGCCAGTTTGGGTGACACGCCATTGATGCATGCTGGAGAGGTAATGTCATTAGCCAAGCTGTACAGCAGCATCTGCCACTTCCACAGACTCATCACTGACACCCATGGGTAAGATGGCATTTGTTTTATGTAGCTGATGACAAACCGATCAGCGGTTTCTCAGCAATCATCAGTAGTTTCTCAGGAATCTCGCAAAGACAAAGAAATGTGTTCTCACACAGTAGTACGCTCTCATTCTTGCACATTAAACATGCATTGACCTGGTTTACTTTCAGATGTGATTGTCAAGCTTCCATTCCTCAACCACTGATTTATGCAGCAGAGTTCACACAATGCAGTTTCTATATGTAATAGTTATAACCTCCTTTTCTCTCTGCTTGTCTGTGTGCACCAACCTATAGAACAGTTTCCTGAAATTCAGCTATTTATTTGCTCAATATGAAATAAAACCTGATACATAATAACATAGGAAATGAAACTATACATAATGCTGTAGGAGTGAAAACAGTAGAATACCAAGACGAAAAAAATCTAGCAGCGATAAGCAACACGCCTACCTTAATTAAACTCCTACAATTAATCCTTGCATTTTCTTCCTTAATAGAATTGATTAATTTAGGAACTAATCCTGATTTCAAGAAACCCACCAGAGTAAACTCTAACTGAATGCCAAAACAGAATTTAGCCCACTGTTTTTCCACCTGTTTTTTCATAGTATCTAAACCTGAATTTAAGAAAAAAATGTGAGATTGCATGATTTTCACAGCAGATAAGAAAACTACATCTTTCTAATAACAAGATGCTTTAGAGGAAGTCCATAAAAATCAATCTTGCAGCAGTCTTTCCAGGATAAAACAACAGGAGTTTTCAGTCCCAGATTCTAATTCCCCTGGAGACTGAACTCCCAACATTTCCATAAAAACTCACAGACCCATCAAGTTAAGACCAAAAACCTGATTTCCATAAAAATTCACAGTTAAGAACAGAAACCTAATTGCAGGTATGAAATTCAAGATGACCTCTTTGTCCACGGTTACATTAATCTCAGTCACTTGTCGGCTAAAACTCTCAAGCATGTACCTCTGACAGCTTAAAAATCTGATATAAAGACATCACTTAAAAACCTGACCAATACTTTCAGAATTGGGTATTATAATTTTCCCTCTAAAGGTCAAATCCCTGAATTAAACTTATTTGAACAGAATCTCACAAGATTCTGCATCCCAAATTCTCTAGCTGAGATAAAGGGCAATAAAGTTTTTCTTGGCCTGTTAAATGTGTTATGGCAGATAACTTTCAAGGTAAGTCTCATTTGATGTGGAAAAGGTTGAACAAATAGAACGCATTTAAATGACAATTATGGACTTTCAAGACACCTACTGAGGTCACAAAACATTCTTCAGTAGATCAAAAAGCTCCATTCAGTAACTGGTTGAAGAGGAAGGGTGTGACTATAGATGCACCTGTTGGAAAACCACTATCACCACCTCATCACATGCTGAGAGCCAAGATACTACCATTGCACTGCTGTGCCTTCAGGAGTGTTTGAAGAGCTTTTAGAAATAAGAAATACCAGTATTGCCTCTGCTTTCACAATAGAAGAGAACAGTTGTTAAATTACAAAAATAGATCACAGAATAAGCTAGAATTTGTGAAGCTTACCTTCCTACGATGAGATGGCACAATAAAATATGTTTCAATATTATGCTTCTTCAAGAAACTATTCCTTTCATGACCATATCCTGGTTCTACCTCATAGTCCCCATTTAGGCACTCTAAGGTGGTCTTTGTAATGTGAACTTTCCTGAAGAGAAAAATTGGAAGTTGTTTAAAGTAAAGATACAACATGAGCAAGTTGCTAGTGAAATACGTTCCTGTGCAGAAGTTTGTAAAGAGGTCAAGTTACATGCGAAACCACATTTGATGTAAAAAAAAAAAAGTTTTGTCTTTTCAGCCAAACAGAACATAGAAAAATTTCTATTACATGTATTTTCTAAACTCGGGCAAACTGAACAGAAAGATAACTATTGACTGTCCAAACATTTGCAGATTTTCTGATTTGTAGAGTCTGCACATCATCTTCTATACTGTGTGGTTTTCTTAAGTATTTACCTCACTAGCTGCTTGGAAAAACATCCTGCTGTTTCAAACTTGTGAATTTGCACTCCAAATCTCTCTTGTGTATAAAGGAGAAACTTCTTTTTCCATTTCACTTTACATCTCTGACTTGTATCATTTACTCTGTTTTGTAGACGGCTTTCTAATTCACTTTGTTTTGGCAACACAGCCATCTTTGACACTATTTGTGAGTTTTCTTATCCTGAAAAAGTCTTCCCATTTTCTCCCAAAAGACTCCTTACATTTGAAATGTCTTCAGAGAAGATATCCAAAAAGATTTTACTGCTTTCCTCTAATGAACATGTGTTCAGATTTTTTTCACTGGAAAACCTTACAGTAACGAACATGTAAAATACACTGCCAAAATCATCTAAATCAGATATATGCAACAAACAGATATTCACTCACTGTTACCACAAAAATCAAGAGGTTCCATTGTCCTCCTGTTCAGCAAATCATGATCATGTAAAAATGCAACAGAGAATGGTAGGTCCCAGTCCAAATGTGAGCTACACACAGAAGACCACCCATGCATGTTTGTGAAGGTGCACTGTGTGCATTTAACTTGTGTTCAAGGCTGTACAAGTACTTAAAATTCCAGGACATGCCCCATGGGTTGGCTGCAAGTTTACACGCTACTGTATCATTTGCAAACACATCCTTAATATTTGAGTTTTCTTTTTTATAGCACTAGTGTTGGAAATCTCGCCATGTAAAAGGAGTAAGGCACCTCCCTGGCCCCCTACAAATGCAGAGGTGCAAGGGTAAAAATTTCCTAGAATAGCTACAGGGTTTTACTTTTGTAATAGGAAATGATGCAAGTTTAGCATTCCTACATTCCGTTGCATCTTTCCTACTCTTTATATTTGGCAGCTTCTAATAAGGATTTTGCTTGGAAATGTTTTGCTTCTAATCTAACCTATTACTTACGTAACTATCAAGATTGTTTGGAGAATTCCACAGGATAAATCACATAATACATTGATTGCTCTTGCCAAACACAATCCTTCTTATCAATAACAATTGTATGCAAATGCCTCAAAGCAGGAAATAAATTCTTCACCCATACAGGTTTCTATTTCTTTTTCTATGGTTCTTTTTCGGACTTACCCAGGCAGTCCTCCAGCTTCCATTACATTAGCTAAAGTCACATCATTTGACCAGACATCATATTGCCATTTTCGGAGACCCAGGACCCCACAAAGCACCCTGCCTGTATGCAATCCAACTCTCATGTTGAGATCAACCTCTGTGGCTTCTGCAACAGATCTGGAATGGAGAGCATCAGAATATTAAAGTTTAGACAATTATACTTCTCTCGATTTTCTTTTTCTCTCCTTCTCCCAAAGTTAGCATATATATGTATATAAATGACTGAAAAGACAGGATCTTTTAAAACCACAAATGGTATGTTCAGGTACTGAACTCTTCCTTCACTAGTTTCAAAGCCATAGTTGTTATTTCAACAAAATAACTTTTTTATATTTTAATATATTCTTATATTTCAATTACTGTTGAACCAAAATCTCAGTATTTTTAAATTTCTTGATCATCTCTGTAAGAAAAGAGGTATGAAGAGAAGATAGCTAAGAAGGCCAATGTATAAGCAATTCTTGCCAATCCATTATGTTCTATTTGGTTCAATTACCCAGTTACGGAGTACAGGAGAAAGAAAAGGATGAAAGCAGTAAATCAGTGCAAGAACAGCAGATGAAGAGTGATTATAAACACTGATATCTTTCCAAAACTCCTGCAAGAGTGGCAAAGAAAGCACTTGTAACTATGGTCTTGTACCTGTAAATTAAATCTAATGTTCAGAGATTTTCCTTGTCTAGCTGGAAAAGGAGGAATTAATCAGCAAAGTCATTATTAAAAGCATTTTTATTTTTTGCTGCCACAATAAGGAAGCATTCTTCATTTCCATAAATGATTGGCATGTTATAACTTGCACCCTGGATGGACTTGTGAACCCTGAAAAGGTACCTTGAGGCTAATAGTCTTATACATTACATGTGGAGATAACACTGTGAATAGATCTTTTCAGCTCTTTCTGTTACAAAAACACCTAGCATTCCACAGTTCAGTTGCAGTCCAAAAAGAGATAATATCAGTGAATAAAGGAAACTGTCTAATCAGCATAAGACTCGATTTTCAGTAGGTTTTCTTAATTTGAATTTTCCAATGCATTTAATGGAAGACCTTAAACTGAGGCTCTACCTATAATTTTCCATTGATGTTCATTGACCAATTCTTTTTTTAAGTATCATCCACCTATGCTGAATTTGGCTAAGATGTCTTTAGAAAGACTTTTCAACTATTTCAGGAGTTGTACTTATTTAAATACAATTAACAGAAAGGTCATCATATGTTGTGGGATGTGCAGCACAAGCTACTTGGCCTCAATTTAAATAGGAAAGTGCTGCATCTATGAAGTGTTGAATTATATACCACGTCAGCCATCACTAATGTGAGTAACACGGAGATCTCTTTTGTCCCCATAGGGAATCTGGGCATAACATATTTTTCAGTCATATTTTATGCAACAGCCCAGAAAGGCTTATGCACAGCTTTCTGAAAGATTAAATATTTCCTTGTCCTATTTCTACTCACTTGCAAGTCAGCTTTCCTTTATTCAATATCTGTTCCCAGTCAAGCCTCAAATATGACTCCAAGGAGTCTTAAAAGGATTCTAATGTTACAGGGCTTTGTTGTGCACGCTATGTTTGATACAGCATTGAGGAAATGAATGTATCCCTTGGCCTTTGTATCTTCACCTGTGCGTGTGTATTGTGTCATTAACAGATGGACCTTATACCAAGACCATACCCTGCAAGCCAAAGCCCTTCAGGACTACACCTTGCTTGTCTGTTCTCCTGCATAACTAAGTACCTATGTAATTATCTTAACTAATGAACCTGTAAGTGTGTGAATTTCTCTGTTCACAAATGAGAGAGGTTTTTTTGTTGGTTCCCCCCATTTCTCCCCCATTTAAAAAAGTATATTAAATCTCAGACTAAACATAAGCAGAAAGACAGTGAAATTCAGGCACTGGTAAAGTCCACTCCAGACTTTTAACATTGCTTTGTCCCAGTTGGCTTGATTGAGTGGGGGAAATTTAATCTGCTTTTAGAAATTTCAATAGAGTAACAAAAAGTACATGACAAGAAATTAGAAAATACATATTTAGAAAATATATTATTAGCTGACAATATTCCTTGTCAGCTAACAAGGAATAGCTGACCATATTCCTTGTTAAATGAGCTGAACTTTGTAACGCATCAATGACCCATAAAGCAGAATCTGAAAACACTTCATGTTTTGAGCAAAAGATTTCCCAAAGTAGTCACTTAGTAAAAAATGTAAATTGAGAATGCATTTCTACATCTTCCCTAGAAGCTACAAATGTGTTTCAGGGATGCTTTCACCATTATTAAATTTGAGTAAGAAAAAAGCTCATGAACATTACATTTTTCGAATTTATCTTGAAGACCTGTGTGACTTTTATGCAGATAAATTTCCATGAATATACCTCACTGAACTATCAAAAATGAGGAATATTATGTAATATATAAAGAATAGACTTCACATATAAATTCAGAGCAGTACCATGATCATATTCCCAAACAATACCAACATTTCTGAAATAAAATCACAAAAATGTCCAATGAAGCATTTTAAATTATAAATACATTTTTGAAAAAATACCAGCACTTCACAAACAAGCCATGAATAGGAAAAAGAAGTTTCTCAAATAAATTATTCATTATGACTTATTTTCTCATAGATTCATAGACAATATACTCAAAAGTTTTCCAAATGTTAACACAAAAGCAGGCCCAGAAACAAATGGAAATCAAAAAACAGTTTCTTTTTAAACTAGATGTGTGTAGAGTCTATGTGAGTGACTAATAAGATAACCATCTACCCTGACAGCTCGAGTATCCTACAAAGCCTTTAAATTTTAGTTCTCTCCTTAGCTACAAATATTTCATGAGCTGCTACAAGCCATCAAAGTAATTTAAATCATCTGCAGAACAGCTCCAGACCTATGCTCCTGAGCATTTGAAGGGGGAGAAAATAAGCCCTGCATCCCATTTCTTATAATTATTTAAGGCTTTTCTTTAGGACTAAAAATATCTGCATAGAAATAGATGTTCCTGTTTAAAGGCATAGATATGATTTTTGTTCAATTACATACACTTTCACGGAGTGTTGCTCAGCTGCAGCATGGCAGCAGAGTACTAGGGCAGAGAGTCTGGGCTGTGAAGGGCTGCTAGAGATGCAAGTTGACTAAGCTTTCACCACCAGTAGACAGCTTCCTGCATTGCTAAAAAAGCAGTTGCTGGTTCTCCCAGAACTCAAGGTCAATTTACTCCTGCCAGTTCAAAATTTTCCAGGTCTGGGACTTCTGGAGGACATGGGGAAAAGCTTCAACGGTGTTGACATCAGGAAAGTTAATGCTTCTGTCTCCTTCCTCATACAAAATATCACACAGGAAAACTTGATATTTCCATTCAAATTCCCCAAGCTGGCTACTGTAGTTCCTCTTGCTTCCCCAGTGCTCTTGATCATCTGATGACCAAGCCCATAAGAAGAAGACAATTCTAGCATCAGGTTCTCTAATGACCACTGCAACCAATCAGCAACACAATGTGCAGGTGTGAAATAAGCCCAACTTCCACATGTGAGGCCTTACATGACAACTGGTGGAGTCATTCATATTAGGTGGAATCATCTGTATGGGATAAAATCACCTATATGACACAGAGAAAAGCTGATAAACTCCACTGGGATGCCCAGTTCTCAAGAAGCAAGGGTTCACAGACACTTTCTTTCAGACCTCTTCAAAGGCCACATGTAGCAGGAATGTTCAATCAGAAGGCAGATGAGACTTATTCTAAAGGAATACTCCCTCTTCTCTCCACTGTAAATACATGTAGGTTAAACTAAAGCAATCAGCAGCAGCTGCTGTGTTCTACAGATATGCTCCTATCATGCCATGTAAGTGCTACTGTACACATAGCCAGCGATGCAGCTAGAGGTGCAACCTAGTAAGACATCAAGGGAAGAAGTAGCATGAAAAGAAATTGTCACATTCCTACATGACAATAGGAATGATTACTGGATCTCATTAAAGTTTTGAGAAGTTCATGAATGTTAACCCCAGTATTTTGACTCAGTCTAAAATCTAGTATTTATATCCTGTTCACCCAGATTCTCTCCTTATTTCCAACTGGAAATACTACAGATCAGTTTTTTTCCTGTGGTGTTATTGAATGCATTTGAATTACTCCCTCATTTCATCATGTTTCATCTCCTAAGAGGAATTTCTGGACTGAACTGAAGAATTGTTTAATATAATTCATATCCATTGATGAAGTGCTCTGTAAGGAAAGATAAACTATTATTAAGAATGCGGAAATCTGTCCCCATAACACTAGCTTAAACAAAAATTCTAGACAGTTTTTGGAGGAGAGAGAGAGGGAAGAGTTTGGCTAACAGGGTAAAGCAATTAGCTATCAAATATATCTCTTCAGAAGGTAAAACATGGTAGCACATAAGACTGGAACCTTCAAATGTGGCAATCAATTTAAGTAAGGTGAAGAGAGTGCTTGGCCTAACACACTGTCCATAGCCAAGGTTAGGACAACATCTGCCATGTTAGACCAATACCTGACATATTAGAGGTTCTAATGTATATGATCATTTTAATTATGTTACTGACAAAAACCTGATAGTTGAAAATCATATAGTGAAAGCAACATTGGTGGTATGAAACATGTAACTCTGCTTACTGCCTTGGTGGTTTAAGTGACTCTAAAATGGAAAAAACACCTGGCCTGTACTGAGGCACTGACACAATGGGCAGAAGAAATTCTTTCGGAATTGAAAGAGAAGGTAGGTACTATCTGTTTTATTGGGTTTTTAAGAAAAAAGAAGGTTGTCCCATGATGATTCTGGTCTGACCTTAACTGTGCCCTTCAAAAAAACACTTTGAAGATGGCAGATAAATTGTGAAAATTTTATGGTTTTTTTAATACTTTGGAAATTATGTTCTCAGATGATACAGCACTATATTGCAGGATACTTTAATAAGAGTTACACAGCATATGAAGTGAATGGAATGCATCAATTTAAATGAACACATTATAGCATTCAACTCAGTCCAATCACAGAACCATGAAACAGGAACCAGAAGTTTCTATTCTTTGATTTCACAGAAAAAACCTACATCTTGGTGGTATGTATCTTATAATGCTTCTGAAGGTCATATAAGGTCACATATTCTTTTGGGACTTTATAGTATCACAGACTACCATAAATTACAGATTCATAGATTACAAAGTATTTTACCAATTTTACAGTGTTTACAAACATGATGAACTTTCATTGAATGAGGGAGAATATGGATTCATTTACGCAACTCTTCACACTGAGAGGTATTTTTATAATATGTTTACCAAATGAAAAGGACAAGTGAGGAGCTTCTGACTGAAGTAGGAATGCAACATTTTATTATCTATTGGTTTGATTATTAGCTTTTGTATATCAGTCCCATGAGATGCAAAGTCACTTTTTTTTTTTTAACTTCCCCCTTTCATCCAGAGTTGGATACCAGCTGGTAGTCTTGATATTATATTAGAAACACATGGACTGAGCTAGAAATGAGAAATAGCCTTTGATTGCTTTAAGTACTTCTTCCTTTTTTGTAGGCTTTCAAGTCCTCTGCAAAGAAACATCAATGAATCCAGAAAAGTTTAAGAAAGAAGATAAAATGTCCCAAATAAAAATTGCATAATTTGAATTAATAAGCTTTATGATTGCTTATTTTATTTTTTCATCATTTAATTTTTATTTTTTTTTAAATTGAGATCACACTATGTTCTGTTCACCTTCACAGAGAAGGCAGATCCTTTCTGTGTACAAAGGAAAAGCTCAGGGATTAAGTGAGGGGAAGAAGAACCTTGAGCCAACTCCACATTCCCAGCTGTCCAGATGACAAAATAGAGCAAGAATACCTGGCTTATTTCAACAGTGGTCAAACACTTTCCAGGCTCCTGATGTGAAACACCTGTACTAGCTCATTTCTAACACAGTAGCACTGTGCTGAACAGTTTTTAATTATACATAGAAATTAATACAGATGTGCACTCCCTCCTATAGCCTCCCTATAAAGCACATACACACAAATGCCCACAAACACAGAGCAATACAGTAGTGAAGAAAATTTCCATCTTTATCCTTTCCCTCCTGTGCAAGGGAATAGATCTCCAGCTCTCACTAAAAGCTTATTCACAGTTCTCTAACATTCATATTTTTTGCCTTGGCAAAATAATGATCAATGCAGAGCTCTCAAGCATAAAAAAATCTTCTGAGCAGCAAAGTGAATTTCACGTTATATTTCTGAAAAGCAGAATAAATGAAAGGTTTAAACACAACATACAGCAAGCTAATTTTTGAGACTACAAACACATATACAACAAGCATACATCAGGACTGGTTTTGAGTTTACATACTGGTGTGCAAAATCAGCTATGTTTATCATTACAAACCAAGAAATTTTACTCCTTTCTTTGTGGCAATTAGAAATAGGTATATTTTGTTATTTCCCAGCATCTTTCTGCCACCTGATCAGTATGTGTATGTGCCTCTACATACTCATCCTTTTGCATTTACTCCTTACAGTCATTAAATGGAGTGGAAAATCAATGTCTAGAATGACCCTCCCTAAAATCAGTATCCTGTGACTTGAATGCAACAGTGTGAATTGCCAGGTGGGCAGTACTAGCAGAAACTGCTGTTTTTCTAATAACACACTTCCTGAACACCACATAGAAGTTGTTGCTGCACTCCTGTCTGGATTCACCATGCATGGTACTTACGTGATGGTGTCAATCATATCCAGTCCCATTTCAACACAGCAATGGGCATGATCTGTTTTGGGCTGGGTCAATCCTGATACACAGTAGTAACAGTCCCCTAGGATTTTTATTCTTCTGCAATGATTTTCCTTTCATAAAAACAGAATGGGAAAAGTTTTACTGTTCATATAAATATTCCAATATTAACAGGGTAACATCTTCTCTAATACTATGCAATCATTCAGGGAATCTTTTTGTGGTCAAATGAAGTAATTGGCAGTTCATGAAATCTGGGTTCCCTGTACCCAACAGCTGACATGCACACATTGTTTATTTATTTATAAATAGATGCATATATACTAGACATCATCATCCCTGCATTGTTCAACACACATGGGGGCTAACACTGCTTAAAACCATAGTTCTGAACAAATATTATTGCCTTGCCCACATGCTAGGTCAGTATGAATTCAAGATTTGCAATGAGAATTCATTTCTCTATGAACCCGAACCAAAGGACAGAAAGCAAACCACTACTGAAATGTTTGCGCTCTGGGAGGCTTTTGTTTCAAATTCAGTTCAAATTTAACAGGAAAAATTATGTATTTATCTGTAAAGGTACACACATTTGTACAGTACATATTCATAAATCACAATTTACAATACACTATGATTAGTATGACAGACTTGCAGATCAGAAGCTACAGTCACTTTGCATTACCATTAAATTTATCTCATGTTTGCATGAAATTTAATTTCTACAGCCAAAGATATCTGGCTAAATGTCTCCCATTTTAAAAAACCAATCATGACATGTGATGATTGCCACATCAGTGTGAGCAGAAAGTTCATTTCTAAACAGAGAGCACATAACAAAATGCCTTTAAGAAAGCAGTACCTTTAACTAACAAATTATGAGGAGACACGAAGAGATGATTTCTTTTGTAACTAGACTATGGCAACTTCTACCCATTTAGACTTTGGCATAGAAAAGTAAATAAACGTATTAAATGAGTCCCACTTACACAGCTGGGACTATGCCAGTAAGCACCATGCAAAATTAACTATAATGAATATGATGGAAGGGGATCAAAAGAAATTTGATGCCTTCCCCAGCAGTGTTCTATACAGACTTGACTTCAGCAACACAGAAAGGGGAAAAAAAGAGTGGTGGTGATAATGGAATTTAAAATTTCTGGAAAAAAAATACCTAATCATAGAATTATACTTGTTTGGTTTCTCATACAGGTACATATTCTCATCTGGTTTCCTGCCTACAAGAATTAAAGCCTTTCTGAGTTAACCACACTCTCCACATCATTACCCATACTCCAGCTCAGAAGCAATGGTTATGCCTACAGTATTCTTTTTCTCTCTGACATGTCACCATGTATACCAGCATTTGGGGCTCATTATTGCACACTCTTCCAGCAGCAGGCATTCACATCTCTCTTTGTTGTAATGGTACGGAGTATCGAACAAATACTATATAATGTGAATTACCTCTGTTTACAAATGGAAGAAGTCATGCTACCACTATTTGGGAAATTGGTTTGTCTATTTCTTTTTATAAATTAGGCAACAAATTCAGATCTCAAATCAAAGAAGAGAGCTGTCTTTATGGGTAAGCTTAAATAGTAGAAAAGGCTTTTCCAATAGTGACTACTTTACATTTCTTCTACTGAACAGTAGAATTTTAAATATAACCCTAATTATCATTGCTAATACATATTTTAATGAATACAAGCATATTTTAAAAGGATTATCACCAGGGCCTTAAGAGTATTTCCACAGTCTATAGTTAAAAAGTGCTTCACCAATTTTACACAGATTTTTTTGAGATCCTTGTCTGAATGGTATTATATAAGTAAAATAATTATTGATGCACAGAAAGTAATAAGCAGATCTCAAAATCTATCTTGACACAATTAGAATAGTCCTTCTAATTAAAGTTTTTTGGACAGAAATCACTATGTTTTTTAATAGAAACTAAAAAGTTTTTTACTAGATAGCACTAATTTATACCGTCAAAATAAGCCTTTTTGGGGGGTGGGGGGCAAATCTTGAATCAGTAGAGGGTACTCAGTAGTTAAAGCTGAAGCCTGCTTTCCAAAACAAATTCAATTTTGGCCCATGCTTTAAAATCCTCTATAAGGTCCTTTTCATCTTCACATTTGGTATGCACGATTTGTGGCCAGGCAATGTCTGTTTGACCCATAGGAAAGCTATTCATAAAAACCATTTCAGCAACCTGGGGTGAACAACGTGTTAATCAATCAGTGATTTCTCCTAATGGTGTCTATCTCCCACATGGCTCATTTCTAACAACTTGGTAAAAGCCTGGTAGGCAGTATAAGGAAGAAAAAGAACCCAACAAAACAGAGCTTAATCCATTACCACTTTTCCAAGTCAATTTATTATTTGTGCAGGAGAGAAATAAAAGAAAATAATTGCTACAGTATTTTCTTGAAAGATATTTATCTTGATGGAAGACATATGGCTAAACAACCACTCTGCTTGTTCCTTATCAGATGTTATCTTCACTGTCCTGATTTTTAATAGTCAATTAATATACAATAATCTCTAGAAAAATTGTTTGTTTTCTTTTGGTTTTTTTCTTGACATGTAAGGGAGACTTCCAGGAAGGAGTCACAGTACAGCTTTGTAAAAGCAGTCTTTTTAAGGATTGATAAGCAAATTAATAAAACAAACCCCTTCTCTGTCATTTTGCTCCCTCAGCAACTTCCAAAGATGCTCCTGACTCATCAGTATTTTTCACATTTGTTACGGTGTAGAATTTAAGTATTTAGTTACAAATTCTAGTTACAATTGATAGAAGCAATGTCTGTTTAGAAACAACTGATAATTTGTTTTTATGCACATGCTAGAAAGTACTAGAGGTTGCTAGCATTGCATTAGCCAGGCAGCTTGCCCACCTGCAGTGCCTTACTAAGACGTTTCCAAGTGGATCTGGAGAAATCCCTCCGGCACTACTTCAGTCATAGGATTTGTCAGTGTGTAGCAGAAGCCCAGCTTGGAAAGTGCAGGATACTTCAAAGTTGCTAAGAGCTTTCTTTACACTTTCAGACAAGCACCTTGTAAAGCAGTTCATTCTATCCATCTGCTAGGTAGAACAAAGGAGGGGGCTTCTGTTTCAAACAACTGGGGTTTTGCTGTTGTTGCAGTTCTTTATTTAATGCATTTTGCAGAAAGAGTGAAGTCTGTCAACTTAGACTGAAATATTGAGAATTCAGACCATTAACTCCACATTCTTGTACTAAAGAAGTGAAATGTTGTTTTGTATACTCAGGATACAGTTATTTTTTCATAAAAAGGGCAAAGGTTTTACAGTTTGTAAAAACGTTTTATATATATATATGTGTGAATATATATATAGGTTGTCCCAAAGAAATAGCAAAGAAGCTGTCAGACTTCTCCCAGAAAAACACATAAGCATAAGCAGAAAGTCAGATGTTCTCTAGAAGAGAGAGATTTTATGAAATATTAGTAGGCACGGCATTATGTGTTTCAGGGGAACTACACTCGTTTTTACAAGCTGTACCTCTTTTCCTTAGGAACTCAAGCCACAATTCAATAATCCAGGCTAAACACATCACAGTAACAGCCCTTTCTTTGTTATTACCATGTGAAATTACTATTGGGGGAAAAAATGCAAAGCACCTCTAAAACTTCCCAAAGATGTAAAAGAATAATGACTTGCATTCGCTGCTTATATCTCTCCACAAACCTAGAACTTCATTCTGCTTCCAAGGAAGTCTTGAGAGGGGACAAAATAGGATTCACCACTGTTACCACTGCAACTTATTTTCTCTGTATATAGCATGTGCAACAAAATTTAACATTTATAGCACTTTATCCCAAAGTGCTATTAATCTCAATGGAAAGTTGGATTAGAAAGCTTTGAGTCACTATAGAAAGTTGTCATATACTACAGATGTGTATAGAGATGTAAAAGACACTTACAGAAAGAATCATATTTTTTGCTACATCCTCTGAATATGAAATTATGTATCTATTCAATTTTGTTATAGTTTTCATTAGATTGGAACAGAACCATAAAAACCTATATTTTGACCATCATACTGTATAAATATATCAATCCATCCATCCACACGTGCACGTTTGCACGTATAACATGCAGGCACACAGTTCCACAAATTTACTTACACCCTCTTGCATATATACACAACATATGGGATAAGCGCAAATTATTTTATTCATTCTCTGGAGTACTGATATACTAACCAAGGTGGCTCAGCCTCACAGACATGGGCCAGACACCAGTTTGGAGCCCCCTCTTTCAAAAGATTTGAATACAGACCAGTAGAAGATATATGGGTGTTAAAACCTTTCCTGGCATTACTACTCCTTCTTTATGCAAAGGTATGGTCACTACTCCAAGTGCCTTTGGAAGGACAAAGTACAGTGTTCTGCTGCAAAGGAAATGGTGAAGGACAAATCACCTCCTTCAGGGTCATAGAAGAAATGGCAATGAATTGGATGGTGTTAGCTCGAAGGCTGTACAGTGTAACTAAGCAATACCATACCAAGTTATTAAGTTCAGTGCATGATGGGAAGGAGAGATTCCTTTTAAGAGAACACTTGAAATTTTTGAGATTTACACTTTTTTACTTAATTTCCTTATAAAATTAAACAAAACCTTTCTATTTTTTTCTCTTTAGCTCTGTAACTGTTCTATGCATCAAAGAGCTTTAGCAAAAAACAAAACTAAAATAATTCTATGGAAAGGACAACCAAGTGAAAGTCTTTTAGACTGTAGCAGTATTCTCAAAAGATACAGCTAAGTGCAGAAAAAGATGAAAACATGGGTTTAGATTCACATGCAAAATGCTCATTAAAGCTCTACTTTCAGGGTCCCTTTTAAAGGACTCTCTTTCTGTGACAATGAAAAGTGAGCCTACTTAGGCTAACTTCTAAAAACCAATTCTACGAAAATCATAGAAGCACTGAATCTTTAAAGATCTTCTAGTTCCAGCTGTCATGGACAGTGACACCTTCCACTAAACCAGGTTGCTCAGAGCCCCATGCAACCTGGCCTTGAACACTTCAACAGATGAGGCATCCATAGCTTCTCTGGGCAACCTGTGCCAGTGTCTCACCACTCTAA